GGCACCTTTTTTGAATTTTTTTTGTTTTCAACGGCATTTTTCGGGGGTTTCGGATTTCTTTTGAATTTTTTCGCAATAATATTAGGAAAATAAATAACTTTTAACACATTTTAATACAATAAAAATTTTTGGTCGGAGTCCCCCCTTTAAGAACTTTTTCGGAATGGAACATGGGACTTGAGAGGCGATAAAATCAGCAGTTAAAAAATTATAGATGTTGATTGCACACGTACCTTTAATTTCAAAGGTCCCATTTATTTGAATATCTAAGGACAGCTAATTAGGATCTTTAAAGTTGGACAGATAGCAAAACAAACGGAGAATAATTTTTTAAAAACATTGTTTTCAAACGGATCTTCAGCTCTCTCACTCTCGCTCACCATAATTCTGGTCTGCTTTCAGGCAACCCTTAAAATCGTGGGGTTTTCTGAACATTTCGAAATTGATGGACCACTTTATTGGACACACTACCTCTCCATCTCCTTCCTACGGTATTTGCCCATTAAACATCCATGACGTTTTTGGTTTTCGTATTCTTCTTGGGATGTCTCTCTTTGCATCTGCCAGTAATTAATCGCTTTTTTTGTTTGGTGACGGACGATTGCTCCTTTTTGTTCAAAATGAAAATATGCCTGTTCTTTCCAAAAGGAGTATTCATTCTATAGGTTGTTTCGATGCCATTTCTTAATTATCATTTTATTTTGTGAAAGGGGGATTTGCGAAGAATTTCATTTACAAAGTTTTTTTTGAAGCAATCGCATTTTGGAATTTAGCTCCAGAATATTCTGTCCCCGGTATCTACCATATTCCGGCTATTGAATGTATACTTAGTTTTCTGTTAACCCTTTTTCCAAACTCTTTTATCTTTCCGAGTATCCGATTTCGACAGCTCTTTCCCATTTATCTCGCCTCTAACCCATCCAGTAAAGTCTTTGGATTTTTACTCCTCCCGAGCCGCCACACATACTCATTAATTGTCAATCCCATAAAATGACCGCATGCATTCCCGACGTCCTTTTTCCAAATTGTTTTCCTTTCATTTCCATTTTTCCTGCTTACTTCTGATACCCCATGATCTTTCAGTGGTTGAAAAAAAAAGAACGGGATGCCTTCTTCAAATTTCGAGGAGCGAGGAACGAGACGAGGTCACCTGATTATCACAAATCAAATTTGAAACTCATTGTTCAAGTCGGTGTCATCTGGCACCAGTTCAACTGACTAAAATGCACTTTTTTTCGGAAAAGTACAATTAGCAGCGTCTAAGAGCATCTTTGATTGATGATAAAATTCAAATCATTAATCAACCCCCTGTCGAGGCAACCCAAAGGGAAAAAGAATATAAAGAGATAGAAAATAGAACATTTTTATCAGTTAGACAGAGTTTGTCAGGTGTCAGCATGTTTTGAGCTTATCGTGTGAGTTTCCCTCAATTTTAAACGTAATATTATATCGGAGTTGTTAAAACTTTTAATTGAAAGCAAAAAGAAAAGACAAATGTCATGAAACTCAGGAACTTTTTAGTTTTTTTTTTGGTTTTATTTATTCTTTTCGTTTTCTGTCTTCCCTCAATTTGATAGATAGCCCAGTTCCCGCCTTCCAAGGCAAAAAATATTCAAATTTTCGAGTATATATACTATCACAGATTCCAATTTTTTGTATTCAATAATTTTTCGATCTAAACTATTTGTTTTTCTAAGACATGATTCCTTTCTAGCAGGTAACGTTTGATAACCTACTGTCTCGCGTAGAAGATAAAAGTAATTTTAAAATAACACTGGATAAAAAAAAACTTCATGACTCTTATCACTTCACGATTCATGGCGTCGGCGGAAAATACTGAATCGTACGATCGAACTTTCTGACAGCAAGGGCAAAGTCGAAGGTGAAAAAAACTCGCTAACCGATATAGATGAAAAATGACACGTCGGATGGGTTTCCGCGTGTTATCAGTTCATAACTTCTTTGTCTTCTACACTTCGCTTTTTTTGTCATTGAAAATGGGAGACAGACGAAGTGATAAGAAATGAACTATTGGCGATGTGCTGAACTTTCTTTATAATGAACTATTATATTGATTTTTCTCTGACTATTAAATTTTTCTGAAAGGTATTTTACCTGAAATTAAAAAATCAATCAGATTGTAATGTTTTCTGTCTTCAGGTTCAAAAAATAACAAAATGTGTTTAATTACTCTCCTCTTTCCCTATTTGATTTCAATAATTTCTTGATTTTTTTCGGACTGAAATCACCTAGAAAACACTTGTTTCAACGTTTTGCTTTACTAATTGGCTGATTTGTCGTTTTCCAATTAGCCTAGTTTTCGTTCAAACTTTTGGTTTTTGCCACATTTAAATCTCTACGTTTCTGATTTCTAATATCCTTTGGAAGCATTCAAACAAAATTTTTCCTATTTTTAGCGCCTTCTGTTTTACAAAGATACTTTTTCTCTTCAAGGTTCGTGTAACATCTATTATCTTTCAGGTAATTTCTATCATCATGGACCTTTACTTTTTCGTGGGACTTGTCATTGCCTTTCTTCGTATTGAGTACGTCACTGCTCGATTCGTCGTCAAAAGCCTATTTCAAGATTGGAACGATAATAAAGTGCGACTGTTTTCAGTGCGTGTGGTTTGTTTTACCCACGCTCTACTCTCTTCAATCATGTGTTTGACTTGGTAAGTGGAAATTTTAGACAATTTGAAGACAGCTACCTTAAACACTCTAGTAGAATTCCCCTAACATTGAGCTGATTTATCCTGATCTTTGTGAGAAATGTCAGAAAGGGATCAACTGACTATATATTCATAAAATCATGACGAGTATTCTGTTAGTTGGCAGATTTTGATATATTTCCACAGAAACCAAAATAAATTTTCTAAAATTTGACTTCTTAGATGGTTCACGGTTTTTGTGGTAAAAATCAAAAATTTCAAAATGTCAGACAACATACGAAAAAAACACGTTTTCAGGCTCTTCACCGATCCGAACTTCATTCGTGACCCGTTCACCTACTCCTCGCCTTCTGCTAATTATGTTTTTTTGTTCAGTGTTGCTTATTTCATTTATGATATGGCAGATATGGTGTGCCATGGTGAACTGGATGCTTCCAAAGAATACATTGTACATCATTCGTTGGTTGTAATCGGTTTCATCGCTTTTGTTCATTTCAAGCAACTACACGGATTAGCTCTTCTCGGCCTTCTTGTCGAAGTTCAAACCATTTTCTTGCACTCGAGAACAATGGTCCATCTTTTGTATACCGGGATGGAGCTTCCAAAAAGTGTAGATATCATTGTGAATGCCAACATGATTTGTCTGTTTCTTTTCAGGCATGTTCAATTACTAAATTTTAGAACACCAATTATACATGGAACTTTTCAGACACATTCCAATCAGCAGTCTTCTCTACCAACTGGTGTTTGAAAGTCAACCGATTCATTGGTTTTTCAAAGCTTTTTTGATCTGTGGTCTGACCTTCCTAGAATATCACAACTGTCACTTGACGGTGAGGGTCTAATTGAGTTGATAACCAATGATTTTGTTGGTTTTTCAGATATCCGTTGCTCAATCTGATGGATTTTTTGGCTATGAAAGACAAACAATGGATGAGGACAACATCGATCCACTTGGTTCAGTCAGAAAAGAAAAAGAAAGAATTTCGAATCAAGGAGTACCAGTGGCCAAAAAATCTCAATAGATATATAGATAATTCAGCTGGGTCTGATTAAAGTTTCAAATGTTTTTTATCTTGATATTGATGAAGTCTAAAAGCACATTTCTTTGGAAATCCCTTCATAAAACGAAGTTTTGTTTCTTATTGTTCTTTGTTCTTACTTAAGAAAAACGCATGATATTCCGAACTGGCCATTTAGTAAGAACAATGCAAACGGTGAAAAAAAACCGGGAATGTTATCAGTAATGCACTACACTATCAGTAATGCACTACACTGTGTAGCCGGTTTGTGCAGTCTGGTCTCTTTTTTCTAGTAGGAGGAAATCATTAAAATTTGAAAATTTAAAATGAAGTGTGCAGTTTATTAAAAGCTATACAAATTTTGAAAATATATAGTCTCATTGATATTGTTATCAGACTGAATTTCAGCAGATTAAAAAAAAGAAGAACAGAAATTCGAAAAACCAAACGAATTAAAAAACGTTTATGAAGTAGATTGTGAACTGAGTCAGAAAATATAAGATGATCAGAATATAGCAGATAATTTTTATCGGTGGAGTTCCGACTTCCTTCATGTCTTGGTCATTCTCAGGTAGAGCTGGAAAACCTTCCAGCAAAACTGGATCATCTCCAGCTTTTCTCATTATTTAGGTAGCTTTAGAAGTCAGTGCAATGCCTCTCGCAGATATTCTGAAATAAAAATTTTTATAAGTAATGAACAAAGTTGCGTCGCGACCTTCAATTACCAAATATATGATGCCCTCCAGGGATTCAAATTACATCAAAATCTTGTTTAGAATCCTTCGGACATTGATGAATCTTCACGGTATAGGCTGATTGAAAAATCTAGCAAATTGTGTTCGCAGCCAACAAAACGCAGAAAATCTAATACAATCCGTTCCAAGAAACTATATTCTTTCATCTGTCTACATTTTTTCTGTGTCTACAATTTTCCAATTTTTCTAGTTTCGGCATTTTTGAAAAAAAAAAGTTTATGATGACGGAATGTCTGGAATTTAAATTAAAAAGTCCAAAGTGAGACACAAATCCTGTCCAGATCAAACAACAAGGAATCTAATCGGTGAATAGGTAACAGTAGAAAAAAGGCTGTAAAACCCTGTGGAATGGTTTTTTTAGATGAAAAAACACTTTTTTCAATGTTGTTGAAATACGATTTCCTAAAATTTTGCTATCGCCTTCTGAAATTTTTGCAGTGTCTGACTTTCATTTGATATACAGTTCACGGTATAGGCTGATTGAAAAGAATCAATAAACCTGTCATCTTGAGGCATTCAAATGTGCTGTGAAAATTGTCTTTTTCCAGTTTAAGATCACTTTTCATTCATCAACTAATATAATTGTATTCCCGAAGAATTACTACAATCAAGAATATAGGAAAAATGATACAGAAAATAGTTTTCAGCACAACTTTGTAGGTGGGTTCTTGTGGCTCTGGCATTTCATCGTCGTCGAATGTTGAAGCTCCTGGAGAAACCACTCTGACTCGGACCGATGAATCTTCCTGTACAACTGCAAGTTGTCGTTCAGAACGTAGAGAGTTTGTTGATGGAACCATGCTTCAAAGACAAGTGATAGTATCTATCTCCGTGGAAACTTCAGAAAACCTAAAATGAAAATAATTTAGGAAGAAAAGTGCCGAAAAGAATTTCAAAGAAGGCGGGTTCGGAGCTTTAATTATTTGGGACCTCTAATTTTTTTTGGGACCTCTATTTTTTTTGGGACCTCTATTTTTTTTTGGGACCTCTATTTTTTTTTGGGACCTCTAATTTTTTTTGGGACCTCTAATTTTTTTTGGGACCTCTAAACTAGAATAGAGCCCAAAGTTTTTGGGGGTTTTTTCTTGGAACGAGGGTATACATTTTGACGTGGTAGATATGCTATCTGCCGGCGGCGAAACCACTGCTACCGTAACTCAGCTGGTGACAACGCGGCTCCTTCAACGGTTGGTCTACATGTTTAACTTCTCGAGGGGAATATAGGAATCAAATTTCGAAAATTTTAATTTTCTATGTTCCCTTCCTATCAGAAACAAATTTTTAAAAAATGCAAGGAAAGCACTCTGGATAGTAGTACACAACAAACGAATGACTGCGAGTTAATTAATTCGAAAAATAAAAAGCTTATTTTTTTCACTCCCAGCCACCAAGACAGCAAAATTTATGACGAATAAAAATCGAATAAATGAAAAAATGTGAAAGAAAATGTTCTGTGAAGGGGAATCGAGACTTCAAAATGGGTAGTCTACTACATTCTTTCAAGAACGTCAATCCTAAACATGATACATAAAACAAATCTGAACTACGTCGACACTCAAAAAAAATGGAATGCTACCACGAATTGAAAATTTGAAGATCTCGAAAAAAACTGCCGGCGGTGGAATGACTGCCAGATACATCTTTGGCTTTGACTCGTACAACCTATAGGATACTACCATGATAGAGTGTTTTATGTTTTATTGATTTTTGAATAGAAAAAAAAATACAATTTCGGAAAAAAAAATTTCGAAAGAAAAACATTGAAAATAATCCAAATTGATATTAGTGAAAAAGTTTAAACAGAAGTAATTTGTGTGTATTCTTCGATTATCCATAATAATCGTCTAGTTGGACTTCGTCATTGATAGCTTCCTCCAACATTCTGATAGTCTCATCATTTTCATTGTCGTCCTTGATGACGTATCCTTGAAGAATATTGATCAAAACAAATACGACGGCGCAGATTGATAGGAGCCAAGCCAATTTTTTATATTTCATTTGGTACATTTGCCTTATTGGTTTTGGATAGGCTTTTGGAGACGAATTTTCCGATTTGACTATGATTTTTGTTTTATCACGGGGCATCTGAAAATGTGTAATAGTTTTTTGAATTTTTAAGAAGTTTTCAGAGTGAATGAGAAGTTCGTACAAACTTTAGTAGAGTGAATTTCTCCTCATATAATTACGCCAAAATTCCGAATAAAAAGGGTGTAAAAAGCTCGACAGACAAATTATAGCTGTCTCTCCACCACTAATTTCTGAATAGTCGAAATACTACTCGTAGTTTCTGAATTGGAAAATTTCCTTCTACAGTAATCTTAACTGATTCATTTTCCGCATTGAACAATTGACTACAAACTTTATTCGAAAATCCAAATTTTTTCATTCAAACAGAATACAATATTTTTGCGCGGAGATTTATTGATCGTTGAGTCCAGCTTCCAACTTGAATACAATGAAAATGAAAAGCAAGGAAAATGCGAGAAGGAAGAAGACGTCACGGACAACTTCACTGACTGGCATATTTTCCTCAAGATCGTTGTCAAAGAAGTTTGCTGGAGCTGTAGGGACGAAACTGACTACTGCCTCAGATGATGCTCTAGCTTGGACGACTAATTGACGTTTAGGGCCAGAATTGGTGGAGAGTGGTTGCATTTTGTTTTATCTAGAAAACTAGTGTTAATGTCAAAGAAAAACAAAGCTGAGACAAAAAATTAAGGGGAAAGTGGTCAATTAAGAACATTCTTCGAAAAAAAAATCATTTTTTGAACTTCACTTATTAAGTTTTGTGAGGTTTCTTAAAACAAAAAAATAACATTATTGGGAAAAGTAAAAAATATTTTACAAATGATCATGCGAAATATGTTGCTAGAAGTTTATGTAGGCGTTAGTAACCAAGGCAACAATGTCCAACCTATCATTAATAAAGTTCTTCTGCCAAACAAAAGTTAGTCGCACTTTTGTGTTTGGCTACAAGAACCAAACAAAAGACAAAAACCTGTTTTTTTTAAATAAAAGGTCTCGATCATCATTCTGGATTATCATTCTGGACTTACACAAAAGTTTTGTTTTCATACAAATTTATTTATTTTCAAATTTTCACAGACAATCATAATCAATCGATCAAACATCAAAGATGTTCATCCGGCTCCGGTGATATATTTTCTTATCAGAGCCTTGATAAGTAAACCCAGCTGAATGAAAGTGAGGGTGAGAAAAATCCATCGGTAGAGAATAAATCGTGGACTCCAGTAGAGGTTTCTTCTTTCTACTCTATCAGCTTGCTCTATCGCTATCGCTTTTTTCTTCTCGATTTTTTCGGGTTCTTGGTTCCGACGTTTACGGGACATCTGAAAAATATGAGCGATCGTGAAACAAAAAACAAACTCCAGGAATGAAAAATGAGTTTTTGCAAATCGGCAAGAAAGAAAAATAAAAAATTGCTGATTTTTTATGATCAGAAAGTGATGATAAAAGAATACGTCTAATAATACCGAAGTGTTAATTTTAGTTCGGTCAAATATAGATACGATTGAAAAATAAGAAAGTTTTGGAAAATCGAATCAATGCACTGACATTTAAAAAATCAGACGACTATTAGTTGGAGCATCCATAGGAAAATAAACACAAAAAATCGTTTCAATTTGCGGTCTATTTTTTCTTGGTTATCAGTTCCTGGTACTATTGATAAGCGATGACACTGAAAAACTCAAAGTCGCTAATGTTATCAAACTTGTGTACACGAAAATGAAGTTCTACGAGTGAGGAAAGTTCTCGAGGCCAGGAATTTTTAATTGGAAATTGATTATATTTCAGAGCATTCTCTTAGTTTTTTTGTTGTCGTGGAAATGGGAACAAAAGTTATTGATTTTATCGGAATAAAAATTGAAGGGTGGAGAGATCCAGTATGGCAGTAGGATCATCAGCTTTCGGAAAAATAGTTTTCTCATGCAGTGATGCATTATAGTTGTTTCTAAAGTTTGATCATGAATTTCTCACTGTGTGAAACAACACAAATCGAAAACAAAAATGGCGAAAGAATATATTGAAGACATGTTCCCAGATAAATACATTCATTTTTGTTAGGAGAACCATAGAAAAGCAATTAAAAATTTAAATGATAACAATAATTATATATTTTCGTAGGATGAGAATGAATCCGAGGGTGATGTGGAAGACCAAGAAAGTGAGTACAAACCAGCGCCATTCGACTTTCCATGCTTCGCTTACAGCACTTCCTACTTTTTTGGTTTTGGGATGAGAGTTGTACAGTCTGCAAAGGCGAGCCATTCGAACCTAAAATTAGTTAAAGTCAATTTCCAAAACTTAGCTAAAAAACTCACTGGAAATAGAAAAAAACACTGAAATATGCTGAGACGGAGCTAGTCAACTGAGATTTCTTCACAAAATTGAAACATGGTGGGAAGTTTGAAAACATAAAGATAGGGTGGACCCTGTAATCAAATCTGGGCATTTTTCCTTTGAAGGATATGTTTGAGTGTGAGGCACTGTTGATGGCAAAGGTTGTTGTTTTTACAGTGAAAATTTAGATATCGTAAAAACTCTAATTTAATACCATGGCGTTCTATTTTTCAATGTATAGCTAGGAAAACGTTCTATTAGAGAGTGGCATTAAATTCTTCGATACCAAAAAAAATTTTCTCGAAGATTCTGATGATGCCCAAAATACTTTGAGAAAAAGCGGAAAGTGGGGAATCATCAGGAAAAAGTTCAAAAACCATTTACTTGCGTACTGCACAATGTTTCAACCCTCTCTAAAAAGCAATAAATTAATAATTCGGTGAATCGCAATTTATTTGTTTTGAGGTAGCATTCTATTAAGGGTGGCATTCAATTGGAGGGTGGCGTTCAATTGGAGAGTGGCGTTCTATTTTTCAATGCATAGCTGGGGGAACGTTCTATTAGAGGGTGGCGTTCAATTAGGAGAGGCTATATATTAGAGTGTTTACGGTATTTCAATATTGTAGTCATAACAAGGAAAAAAATTGAATTGATATTCATCCTCAAACTGACGTAGAGAAGCAATTCTTAAATTTACTGCGTTTCTTAATTTTTAGCCGTTTCTGAATTTAAACATCACAACCTCGAAAAATTCTGAACATTCGTCTCTTTGTAAACAGTTTCTGATCCTATAATTTTTAGGGTCCTAACTAGATTCCTGGTCATTTTATTGATGTTCTGCAACTACTAAGTTCAGCAAGACTTGTTTCAATATCCCCTCTTCGAGTGAAGTTAGCGTGTCAGATTTATGTTCGTTCGGAAGCAGTCGTTTCTAGGCACGCGCGGATAATAGAGATGTTTTTTTTTCTAATGTTCACTTCTACAGAGACTGCTTTGTAGAATCCTAAAATTCCTTAATCTTCTCGTTTCATATATTTTGAGTGTTCCTTTCAGTATTTTTATTGCTGAAGCACCATGTTCTGTTTCTAACGTATCAATTTTCTCTAGACGCTCCACGCTCTCGTTTTCTCTTGTCCTATTGCCAATGCAGAGAAGTGCAGGGCAACTGTCTCTGACTGACGTTGTCGACCTCTACACATGCACAGGAACCTTTCTATCGTGGAGAGATGAAAACGGGTCGATATTCTCTGTCTCTCGTTATTTCCAGTGCGCTATTATTTCTCTCTCGCTGACACAGCACATTTCTTGGGGCAACCGCCACCGGCGCACACACACTGGAGAGAAACGATGAAGAGAACCGAGTGAGCGTGCTCACACACATACCCAGGGCATCGAAGAAAAAAAACTGTTTCTCTGGGTATTCTACAGCGTATACGACGCACCCCATTGGGCAGAAGAGTGTGTAGTGCGAGAACAAGGAGAAAAGAAGAAAAAAAACGAGTGGCAGGTGACAGCACTCCAAAAAAAGTTGAAACAATTTTTGAAAAAAGACCGAAAGAAGACAGAAATTTCAGAGGAAAGCATGAAATGTTGACGAAATGTTGACAATTCTAATAAGGAGTTTTACTGAAAAGTTGAATTTTTCGACATAAGTTATTCATAGCCCAAATGAAAAAATATCTATTCAAAATTGCTCATGATTCGGTTTTTTAAGTTTCCATGACTGTGATATGACGCTGTTGTCTTCCCAATAAAAAATAGCATTAGGATGATGGAACTCGCAAACAGGTTGCCAAACGAAGTTGATTTTTCAATTAATTATACTAAAAGTTTTAAAAAATCCCGATCACATTTCATTGTTTTATTAGCAACACGCGTTTTGTCATTGCATCGGTGTGACAGTCGAAGTTACAATCTCTAACAATGGAACCTCAACACCTCGTAAACCAAAATTTTGAAAAAGATTTCAGGAAAAGTTAACAACAGGCTATGTAGAAAACTCTCAAAATTATAGAGTCCGCTCGCCAGTTACAGTACCAAAATTGTCATTTTTAAAAGTGGAAAACAGATATTTTCAAAGACATTTCTAGCATGTTCCAGAACATAAATTTTGTAGTGTTCTACTTAGAATTGGTGAAATTTTAGATTTCAGACATTTTCTCTGAAAAAAAAAGATATTTTTATTCTCAAAATTTTCTACGATTTTCGATATTAATTCGAAATTTGAAAATTTTATTTTTTCGGGAGAATGTTTAAAATATAAAAAATATTGAGTAAACGCAAAATTGAGAAAATCGTCTTTGAAAATCGCTGTTTTGCACTGCAAAGATTTATGGTACAGAAAATAATAAAACTCGGTACCAACTGGCGTGCGGATTCTAAAACTTTGAAAGATGTTTAGATAGCCCGTTGTTAACCTAAAGGGGGCTTTTAAATACTGTAACGGATTCAAACCTTCATAACTTTCCTAAAACTCGATGAAAACTTTCAAAATTTAGGATTAAATAATTTCAGACGCACAAAATTTATAATAATGCAAAAATTTTCGAAAATATTCAATTTCAGTCCGACGACAGCCGTCAGAGGCTTCGGAAAGGATACTACGGTGGCACGGTGTTAGTTTTGGCCTGTTGAAGCCCACATCTTCTGAAGGGGGGTCATCAGAAATGTGAAATTTTGTCTCTTCATGGAGACACTATCTGGGTCCAATACCGTAAGACTGAATAATTGATTGGTTTCAAGTCTGAGAAGAAATCGTATCAATTCTTGTGCCCACGGAAAATTGAGGAAAATTGAGATTGAACCACCATGATGAGTCTTCGGCACTGTAAACCGTGGCCTAATCTTGTCAGAACTCCTTATATTAGCTTACCGACTAGGATTCAAATTAATGCAAAGTCTTGATTACTTAGATTTGTTCTTTAATTGATTTTGGTTTGAAAATTGAGGAAAACAAGGGGTTTTTCGCAATTTCAAGTGCTTCTATCAAAGATCAGAATCATGAAAGAAAGCGAAATTCTATTCGCAATGTTTCATTAGTGTCAGACAGATGACATATTTTTGAATATAATTCTACAATTCCGACTTATCTTGTTGTCATCTACTGTGAAAATTATCACCCGAAACTAGTATCCTCGTGTGAGTGTTTAGGCGCGTGCCGCTTAGAAAGTTACAAGCTTTTTGAGCCACAAATCTCTGGTGTCCCCCTCCCAGAGAGCTACTTTGGTATTTTTACAAAGGCTAGAAGTTGTTCTTTTTTGAAAATAATTTTCATCAAGTTTCAAGTTATTTTGAAGTCAGGAGCGGGCTTCCTGTGACTATCGTCTGAATTTCAGCAAATCCTCTCTTTCGCCGCTAGAATGATCGTAACCGCTGTCTCAGATACTTGAAAATCAGTTATTATATGACTCACGTCCATGTAAATAATAAAAAATTAATTGGCGGTACGATGGACCAACATGCGGTCCATACGAACTAGTACCGTAACCTCACTCAGGAGGTTACCTTCAATGAGCGGTTGTCTCGCAAGTTCCGTTGCAGTAATTAAATGCCCTGAATGCTAAAATTTGTTATCAAACGAGGTGTTGAGGTTCCCTTGTAAAATATCTGTACTGACATGATTTAAGGAATTCGTGAGCTCAATTCATTAAATAGATCATTTTCTTCATTTTTCATTATATCTAATTGTTTATCTCATTTGATATTGTGAAAAAAAATTTTTGAACATCACGTCTATTAAAAAGTTCAATGCAATAGCTGTTGCTTTTTTCAATAATATGGTGGTCGCAAAAACGATTAAATGATTTTCGAACGGAGGTCCCATTTGACAGCAATGGGGTATTGTAGCGACACCTGATAGCCAGAATTGGAATGGCGTAAACCAGAAAACGTTTTGTTAGAATTCCGCATCTCATGGTGTATATTTGCTCATGAAAACAATATTCGATTAAGATTTTTTTTGAAAACTCAAGAACAACAGTGTGTAGCA